GTTACAGCTGTACAAAATTCTGGTGCGGCTGCACTTGGAGTATTACGTACAGTTCTGGCCACCGCATTATAGGAAGGATGTGGAAGCATTGGAAAGGGTGCAGAGGAGATTTACCAGGATGTTGCCTGGTATGGAGGGAAGGTCTTATGAGGAAAGGCTGAGGGTCTTGAGGTTGTTTTCGTTAGAGAGAAGAAGGTTAAGAGGTGACTTGATAGAGACATACAAGACGATCAGAGGATTAGATAGGGTGGACAGTGGGAGCCTTTTTCCTCGGATGGTGATGGCTAGCACGAGGGGACATAGCTTTAAATTGAGGGGTGATAGATATAGGACAGATGTCAGAGGTAGGTTCTTTACTCAGAGAGTAATAAGGGCGTGGAATGCCCTGCCTGCAAAAGTAGTAGACTCGCCAACTTTAAGGGCATTTAAATGGTCATTGGATAAACATATGGATGATAATGGAATAGTTTAGGTTAGATGGGCTTCAGATTGGTTTCGCAGGTCGGCGCAACATCGAGGGCCGAAGGGCCTGTACTGCGCTGTAATGTTCTATGTTCTATGTTCTATCTGCGGGTAGGGGTCCTGGCACCGTCTGCGGGTAGGGGTCCTGACACCGTCTGTGGGTAGGGGTCCGGGCACAGCTGCTTGAGTTCCCCTGCTCGGCCTTCTCCCTCACTAGCACTACCTGATGCTGGAATGTCTGTTACTCTGATTCAGTTCAGTTCACTGAGGAAAACGATTTGAGACATTTGGATAAAATAAAAGGGTCTGAAAGTTTAAATGCTCTGGTTTCAGACATAATGGACATGTGCAACTCAGAGCAACAGTTTAGAAAGGGGCATCTCAAAGCAGATTTTGTGCCTGACCCAAAGTTTTAATTTAAAATACACAAATATGGATCAGCTTGAGCAAATCAGATTTGTCCTCCAAATCGGGGAAATGAGCACTTAAAGAAGTGACTGCAGCTGGAAGTAGGGAAACAGCCCAGAAAGCAGGTGTGTGGGACAATGTTCTCATTCAGGCCTTGAGGATGATATTCATGAAGCAAGAATATGACAGTATTTATTTCAGTTAGAATCACAGGAAGAATCTGGTGTTTAAAATGTTTAAACATTGAAATGCAAGATTGCTCAGATGGAGTTTGGTAATTCAGAATATTTATTGATAATAAAGATTTTTCACCTTGCACATAAAGACAATGTGATATAGGATATATTGTCCCTAATGTAAAAATGATGGAATAAGGTAAGAGTGTATTAGAAAGATATAAAATATTGTAAAAGATTGGTAAAAGAATGGAAGAGAATGAATGGATCTAAGTCTCGTGTTCTGCTCTCTGTGTGTCTCATATCTTGTGATGAAAAGAAATGGTGTTTCATCTCTCCTAAGGATGGAGAAATGTAAAGACCATTTTTTTTAGAGTGTGATCTAAAAAAGAAAACGATACTAATTTAAACCAAGAAAACTGTGCAGGAAGATATTTACAATCTTAAGAACAAGTTACTGAAGCACATTGTGAGTTTTATCTCTAATGTTCCCTTATTGAAGTATTGAGGGAGTATTCTAAACAGAATGGCACCACCTGTTTGCCTGGAGGTAATGTTTTGATTGGTTTTTGATCAGCATCAGTTATTGTAGACTCAGGAGGGCTCAGCATAGCAACAACCATTTGATTGGTTCCTGAGCAGATGGCTACAGCCGTAGGTAATACAGCAGAAAAATTCCGTCCATGAAAAGAAAGGATCCATTTCCCTCTCTCTATTCTGTGTGGATTTTTGGAAATTAGTAGAGGGAGCTACTCTCCCTTACTTTTCTCTGTGAGCTGCCGTCTCTGTAACCCCCCCCGTTAAGGGGAAAGGCCATCTTCAGAGGCACAGAAAAGGTGAATCCTTGACTAAGTGAATGAAAGACTGAGAATCAGTTTACCCACAACTTCATGTTATCAGCAAAGAATTGGAAGGAATCAAAAGAAAGCTGAAAAAAAAATTCATTGACACCTGTGATCCAACACAGTGTAAAGCTGGAGGAACACAGTGTGGAGCTGGAGGAACACAGTGCGGAGCTGGAGGAACACCGTGTAAAACTGGAGGAACACAGTGTGGAGCTGGAGGAACACAGTGTAAAGCTGGAGGAACACAGTGTAAAGCTGGAGGAACACAGTGTGGAGCTGGAGGAACACAGCAGTCAGGCAGCATCAGAGGAGCAGGAAAGTCAATGTTTCAGGCCTAGACCCTTCATCAGGGCTGGGGAGGGGGAAGGGAGCTGGGAAATATATAGAGGGAAGAGAAGTGGGCCTGTGGGAAGGTAGTGAGATGGCAATAGGTGGATGCAGGTAGGGGTAGTGGGGATTGGTCAGTGGCAAGGGTGAGGCAGATAGGTGGAAGAGAAGATGGGCAGATTGTGTCAGCATAAGGAGACAGGGATGAGAGGAAGGTTTGGACGTGGCATGAGGCTGGGGGTGGGGAGATTTTGAAACTGGTGAATTCTATGTTCAGGCCATCGGGCTGTAAGCTCCTGAGACGGAATGTGAGGTGTTGTTCCTCCAGTTTGTGTATGGTGTCATTGTGGCACTGGAGGAGGCCCAGGATGGACATGTCATCAAAGGAGTGGGAGGGGGAATTAAAATGGTAGGTGACTGGAAGGTGTTGTTGATTATAACGTACAGAGCGCAGATGCCCTATGTATCGGCCCTTGATTCTGCGCTTGGTCTCACCGATGTAGAGGAGACCACATCGGGAGCAACAGATACAGTAGACCAGGTTGGAGGATGTACAGGTGAATCCCTGTCAGATTTGGAAAGTTTGTCTGGGGCCTTGGAAGCAGGTGAGAGGGGAGGTGTAGCACCTCCTGCGGTTGCAGGGAAAGATGCCAGGTGTGGTGGGGTTGGTGGGCAGTGTGGAGCAGATGAGGGAGTCGCAGAGAGAGCGGTCCCTACGAAAGGCAGATAGGGGTGGGGAGGGAAATATCTCTTTGGTTGTGGGGTCAGATTGTAGGTGGTGGAAATGGCGGAGGATGATGTGCTGGATGCGGAGGTTGGTGGGGTGGTATGTGAGATTGGCTCAGTGACAGATTTATGGAGCACCTGCACTCCATACGCAAAAAACAACAACACCCTCCGGTCACCAACCATTTTAACTCCCCGTCCCATTCCCGGGGTGACATGTTCATCCTGGGCTTCCTCCAGTGCCACAATGACACCACACGCAAACTGGATGAGGAACACTTCATATTCCACCTCAGGAGCCTACAGCCCAATGGCCTCAACATAGTATTCACCAGTTTCAAAATCTCCCCACCCCTGGCCTCACCCCATGTCCAAGCCTCCTTCATCCCTGCCTCCTTGACCTGACACAACCTGTCCATCTTCTCTCCCTCCTATCCACCCCACCAATCCCACTGACCAATCCCCACTAACCTTCCTGCATCCACTTATCTCCATCCCACCTACCTTCCCCCAGCCCCACCCCTCTTTCCCTCTATTTATTTCCCAGCTCCCTTCCCCCCTCTGTTGTCCTGAAAATGGGTCCTGATCCAAAATATCAGCTTTCCTTCTCCTCTGATGCTGCCTGACCTGCTGTGTTCCTCCAGCTCCACACTGTGTTATCTCTGACTCCAGCATCGGCAGTTCTTGCTACCTCTGACACCTGTGATCCAGACTTGTGCCAGAACTGTGCGCCTCTGATTCTTTTCTTTCCCAACCCATAATATTCACATATTGTCTTGTCTTTTTTTGTGTCTTTTTGTGAGTATTTAGGGAATTTTAATAACAAGGGCTGAGTTTAAATAATAGAGCTATAAGTTAACAATTTGTGTCTCTCTTTTGCTATGGTTAAAAGCAGCTTGGTTACAAGGAGTAGTTATTTTCTTGTTACTGAGAAACCTAATGTATGTACTCTGTAAACCCAGAAGACACAGTTAGGCCACTGAAATCAGACAGTTGGGTACAGCTGGGCAGTTTAGTGATTGAATCATATTTTCAGGTTTATGATGATTCCTGGAATAATGGGACTTGATTTTAGGACCCCCTACCCAAGTCAGTCATGACAGGGATAACATCAGCATCAATAGAAGATAGGCTGGCTACCAGAAAACAGAGAGAATGCATGAATCGGTCTCTAATTGGCAGGACGTGATGAGTGGAGTCAAACAAGGGTCTGTGCTGGGGCTTCAGCTTTTTGTAATTTATGTCAACGACTAAGATGAAAGGACCAAAGATATGTTAGCTAAATTTATAGTTAACTCAAAGGTAAATGAAAACGTTTGTAGTGCACCAGACATATAAAGATTGCAGACTGATATAGAGTGAATCGGCAAAAATCTTGACTGAGTGGCACAGGCCAAATGACCTTCTTCTGCCCGTCAGTCTACATTATGCTTCAGTTATACAGGACATTGGTGAGACCACATCTCGAATACAGTGTGCAGTTTCAGTCTCCTTATTTAAGGAAGGATCTAAATGTATTGGAGGTAGTCCAGAGGAGGTTTCCTGGATTGATACGTAGTATGAATGGGTTGTCTAATGAGGAAAGGTTGAACAAACTGGGCTTGTATCCACTGGAGTTAAGAAGAGTGAGGGGGTGATTTGATTGAAGTGTATCAGATCTTGAATGATCTGGACAAGATGGATGTGGGAAGGATATTTCCTCTTGTGGGTCAGTCCAGTACTAGGGGGAGCTGTTTTAAAATTAGGGGCCACCCTTTCAGGACAGAGATGAGGAGATTACTTTTCACTCTGGGAGGTTTGTGTGACTTTGGAACTCTCTAACTCAGAAGGTGGAGAAGGTGGGAACATTAAATAGTTTGAATACAGAGGTGGGTGGATCCTTATTATGCTGGGAATCGAGGGTTAATGTGGGTAGATGGGAATGTGGAATTCAAAACACAATCCTTGATCTTATTGAATGCAGAGCAGGATCAAGGAGCTGAAAGGCCTAGTGCAATTCCTATTTCATATGTTCATACGACAATTGTAATGTTTCATCTTTTGTGTTCTTTTTCAGGCAGTGGAAACAAATTTGGCTTCAAAGGATAGTCACTGGGTCTTTGTAAATGAGGTAAGCCTAGAGCCATTGCTATTTGAGTGAAATAGCACAGTTTTGTTTTTTGAAACTGAGGAATGTTGTTAGGAGCTCTCACCCATTGCCTGTGTTAAAGCCAATTCTCCAACAGGAACATTAGAAAATAAGATTTCAGAGTCATCCTCAGGATTTCTATACACTTTCAGGGATGGTGAAGGATTGCAAACATTAGATTTTCAGACACCAGCTGATTGATGCACTGTACTGTGTCAGGTCTAGTTAGGAACAAGAGACATGTTTAGGAAGTGGTTGTATTCAGGTGATGGTTGCTAAATTTAGGGGTAGTTTTCTGATTTCAATCTACAGCCTCATGACATCGAATTCAGTGCTTCAAGTTTATTTCACGTAAGACCCTCATCCTGACAGGCAAAAGACAGCGGTAATTTCTACTCCTGTATTCGCACTAAATTTTCACATAAGCTCCACACCCAGTGCCCGAGGTGTCGTGTGCCCTTATTTACAAAGGAGTCAACGAAATCTTGCCAACTCCAAACCTGCACAATCTTGGTGAAATTATCCAATCTGCTCTCCAGTATATGAGCTCAGCTCATCCATCCAAAATAATAGGCGATTATTATGTGAATGGTTACAAATTGAGAGAGGAGAATGTGCAACATGACCTGGGTGTCCTCGTACACCAGTTGCAGAAAGTAAGCAGGCGGTAAAGAAGGCAAATGGTACATTGGCCTTTTAAGTGAGAGGATTCGAGTACAGGAGACGGATGTCTTGCTGTAATTGTACAGGATCTTGGTGAGATCACACCTGGAATATAATGTGCAGTTTTGGTTTCCTTTTCTGATGAAGGGTGTTCTTGCAACAGTGGTAGTGTGGCAAAAGTTTAACCAGACTGATTCCTGGGATGTCAGGACTGACATATGAGGAGAGATTGAATCAGTTAGGATTATGTTTGATGGAGTTTAGAAGCATGAGGAAGATTAGACCATAAGAAATAAGGACAGGTGTAGGCCCCTCAAGCCTATTCCATTTTTCAAATAGGATCGTGACTAATATTCCTCACATCCACTTTCCTGCCTTTTCCTGTAACCCCGATTGCTCCCACTAATCAAGAAACTATTCATGTCAGACTTAAATATACACAAAGATCTCATAGAAACTTATAAATTTTAACAGAACTAGACAGAATAGATAGAGGAAGGATGTTCCTAATGGCAGTGGAATCTAGAACCAGGGGTCACACTCTAAGGATACAACAAACAAGAGCAGGCCCTTCAGCCCACCGAAACTGTGCTGACACTCAATGTCTTTCTAAACTAAAAACCTTTTGCGTCTATATGGTCCGTATCCCATGATTCCCTACCTATTCATGTCTCTGTCAAGATGCCTCTTAAACATTGCTTCTGTAACTGCCTCTACCACTTCCTCAGGCAGCACATTCCAGGCACTTACCGCCCTCTGTGTAATAAATTGGCATCTCACATCTTTAAATTTACCTTCTTTGACCTTAAACCGATGTCCCATAGTAATTGACATGTCTACACAGAGAAAAAGATGCCGACTATCCATTATATCCATGCCCCTCATAATTTTGTAAACTTCTATCAGGAAACTCCTCATTCTTCAATGTTCAAGTGAAAACAAACCAAGTTTGTCAATCTCTCCTCATAGCTAATACCCTCCAAACCAGCAACATCCTGGTAAACTATTTCTGTACACTCTCCAAAGCCTCCCCATCCTTCTAGTAGAGTCACGACCAGAATTCATAGAATCATAGAATTCCTACAGTGTGGAAGCAGGCCATTCAGCCCATTGAGTCCACACCGACCCCCTGAAGAAAATCCCAGCCAGACCCAAACCCTACCCTTTCCGTGCATTTCCCACCGTACACACTGCGGACAATTTAGCATGGCCAATCCACCTAACCTGCACATCTTTGGACTGCGGGGAGGAAACCGGAGCACCTGGAGGAAAACACGGGGAGAATGTGCAAACTCCACACAGACAGTCATGCAAAGCTAGAATTGAACCCAGGTCCCTGGCGCTGAGAGGCAACAGTGCTAACCACTGAGCTACTGTGCCACCCTATGACTATTTAGCCCATCGTGACATCAAGTCCACACTGATCCTTCGAAGGAGGAAGAGCACCTACACAAAGTCTTTGCTAACAATGGATATCCCAACAAATTCATCCGCTGGTTGACTAGATAGACAACACCAAGTGGACACAGTACGCTCCAAGACATTGGCCACACTACCCTATATCAAGAACATATCAGAACTGACAATGAGACTCCTTCGAACACTAGGAATCATGGGAGCGCACAAACCCACAGCTACACTACGACAAACACTCACAGGGACCAAAGACCCCATACCCATGACATGCAGGACCAAAGTAGTTTACAAAATACCTTGCAATGACTAGAACATACATTACATCAACCAGACCAGAAGGAAACTAGCCATCAGGATACATGAACACCAGCTAGCAGCAAAACAACACAATGAACTTTCCCTCATCTCAGTGCACTCGGACAATGAAGGGCATCAATTTAACTGGGACAACGTGACCATCTTAGTTCAAGCCAACCACACACACACACAGGAATTCCTAGAGGCCCATAATGCAATCAAAAACATGTGGAATTTGATTCCATATACAAACCCATGCAGAACAGAACCAGAAATGACACCACTCACATAACGGACCGATCAGTATAAATACCAAGCAGAGTAGAACAACTTCACTTCAGCGGAGGCCGCACTGATGATGTTACCCAGCATGGTGATGACACGTCTGTGCGATAACCAGCCAGCTCAGTGAGCAAGTCAACAACGTCAAATGGGACTAATTGCATTGATGGAAGGCTAAGATACACAAGGATATGCAGAATGCTAACATTGCATGGACAAAATTGAATCATTCTATTCAGCCATAATTATGTTTTTTAGATACAGAAACAATTTCTGAATTGCTGACATTTTAGTACTCCTGCTAAATGGTTAGGTTGCAAAGAGCAACAAATGTGCAAATGTTAAGTTGTATTAATGAATTCTGTCCGATTGCACCTGCAGTGTCTGCTCCCACTGGAACATTAGTACCCCTCGTGTAATATAAACTAAACAGCTCTTCAGGAAGCTGCCTTTTCCCACCAGCACTGAATATGCAGAGCACATAACCAGAGCTCTACTTCAGATATTGATCAGTGTGCTCACAAATTGTTTTTCTCTCTTATATTAATTATGTAGCAGAATTGGTTTCACACTACTGAAGGAACCATGGTGGTATAACTGAAGCAATCTCATGTAGCCTAAGGCTGATGTGATTCTCCTTTGCAGATTTATATCAAACTAGTTTGCAATTTCTGTATCACTTCCTAATCCTTTACATGACAATTAAGATTCTTGCATCCAAGTCTGGGTAACGAGAGCATGTGGAGTGGGGAGATGTCACGTACCAGAATGATAATAGTTATAAGGGAAGTCAGTGATGAGCAGAGACCAGAGATGATGGAGAGATAGATAAGAACTGGTGGAAATTGTACAAGATTTTGTCAGGAGCTATTCCAATTGTAATAATCCAGCTGGGACTAGTCTCAGAAGTTGCTGGCTGAAGATAATTGGCAGAAGTTTCAGCAGGGACTCTGCGGAATGTGCCAATAAATGTGGAGCTGGAAAAACACAGGAGGTCAGATAGCATCTGAGGAGCAGGGAAGTCAATGTTTCGGAATGAAACCCTTTGTGAGTCCTGACAATGGATTTCAGCCAAAAATGTTGACTTCCCTGCTCCTCAGATGCTGTCTGACCTGCTGTGCTTTTCCAGCTCCACATTTATTGACTCTAGCTTCCAGCATCTGCAGTCCTTACTGTCTCCAACTCTGTGCTGTGACTTGTCATGACCTGCAATGTACTGTCTCAGAGAACAGTGAGAGCAGTGATGCTGTGCCATGGGATAAAGAGACGCATTCCTGAGGTGGGCTGAAAAAGTGTGGCTTGTGAACGAAACTGCTTTGAGATATAAAGGATGCTAAAGAAATTACTACTGAGCCATCGCCATGTACAGTGTGTCGCATTTATTCTTCCTATGCGGCCTAATAGATCTCTTCAGCACCTTGAAGGCCACAGTGAGATCACCCCTCAATCTTCCCAAATCAAATCTTCTGGAAGGAGTTACACAAGTTGTGAGGTCTATATTTTAAGTTTGCCATTTATACCACTCTCTTTAACAGGCCTAGTCCAGTTCTTATTCCTTATGGTCTTGTATACCTCAGTCTCAGTGCAAATGTCTTTTGAGTGTAAGGTATGGACATTCTGGGAGCTAACCATTTCATTGGCCTCTGTCAGGTTTCTGTAGATAGTAGGCAATTTCAGCGCAACACGTAGAGAGATATTGGCTATATAGAGATGCTTTAAGCAATTCTGACATTGTGAATCTGGTTTATGAACCATCAAATAGGCAGGAATGAAGGTAAATGGTATTCAACAGTCTTAACTCAGTTGATGTTGAGTACAAATTATGTCAGTCAATAAATATTTAATATGAAACGAGTGATCTTACTAATGGATCAAGAATGGCAGGGGAGGCACAGAAATGTTTTCGTGACAGTGTAGATGCAAGTTTGGTTATAAATTATTAAATTTGAAATTGGTTTATAAGGATAAAGGAGTTTTAAGTGTTTCTCTGCACATAATCCTGGCATTAGATTGTGAAACTCTCTCCTGCTCAAAGATTATCTTCAAGTACACATTCTGTTTAGATTTAAAGTACAATATATTGATTCATCACATCCATTTATTAACGGCTTTGAGGAAATAGAAAAGAGAGACTGACTTGCATTATCCCATTGCTCTGAAAGGTCTCAGAATACTCCACACATATGGAATTATTTCAAAGTGGTGATAACTGTCACAAATGGAAACAAAATATTTTTGAATCTTTTTGTGAGCAATTTTTCCCTTCCATGCTCACACTGGCTTCTGTTCTAATTACATTTGCGTTGTCCCTTTTTAATTTTTCC